CTCTCCGTCCTCCAATATCCTGCATCCTGATATCTACTCCTCTTCCCGTCAAACCACATATCACGCCAACCATGGTCACCGCCACAGCAATCGGCGCAGCCGCCACCTCCACAGCCTGCGGAACCTCCTATCAATACGAACTCCCGGTCCACGACGCCGCCTGCGGTGTGCCCAACCAAGCCAACTACTCAACCGTCTTCGACTCGTGCGCGCTGCCCGCCGGGGTGCGGCCCTACGATAACGACTGCGCACTCTACGCTCTCGCCGTGGGGCAATCCGTGCAAGACCTGACCGACTGTCTGTACAAGGGCGGAGTCACCTGGGCGGATGTCTGGTGCACTGGCGGTGTCAATTCCACGGCCACTGCCACTTCCTTCCCCACGCCAACAAAAGTGGTATCGAGTTCGACCTCCAAGACCACTGAGGACAAGAAATCCTCGTCCACAAAGTCAGGGACTGCTGCGACGGCGTCGGCAACGGGAGGGGGCGGTGCTGTCACCTTCACCACAAAGTCTGCGGTGGGATTAGTGGGTATTGTGGTGATGGCTCTTCTGTGTTAGGGTTTGATTGCGGACAGAAAGACTCAAAAGAGAGGTGGAGTATGTTGAATTCATAGAAACCCGCAAGTTGCAATATCCGAAGGCCTTCGATTGTTGGGGCGTTGATGGTCCATAGCCGTAAAAATGCTTCCGGGTACAAAACACAGCGTCTAACTACTCTGAAGCGCTGGTACTAAGTGACGTAGCCATTTGTTTAATCACAATCAAAACCAAGTTGCTACCAAGAGCCTACTCAATGACACATCAAATACACTACTTAAGCTAACTTGAGTGATCCCAACTTATAGCCAACCATTCTACTATCCAGATAGGTTTGTCACAAGAAGTTGTGTTATACTTGGAAGACCGCTTCCTTTCAGCAATGCGTGTTCCAGTCATAAATATATTAATCTCTATATCTAGATCATTGGGTCATACCTTGCCATGGAATGGTATCCTCCGCGTTGCCCTGCTGCTTCTCGGAGAACCGGAGAATCGAGCTTGGAACAGGCGCAGGCTCTGTCGCCACGATATGAACCGGGAAATTCACTTCGAGGATCCTCGTCTGGACCTGCGTTAAAATGAAGCAGTCAGGGAACGAACTCCGGTACGGGGTGCTCTTGTGCAAGGGAAGAGTTTTCGTGCTGGTCACATACCTTGGACGGCCGGCTGTTGAACCCCAGCCGAACCTCAAGCTTGTAACTGCGCCGCACATTACACGTCTCGAACGTTGGCGTGATCGCTGTCGGGAGGAGCTGTCCACCCCAGTAGTCATCCGGTATATTCACCGTCGTCCCGACGGGCGTTTCGGCAAGACAGACAAACATGCGCAGATTGCTTACGGTGCGCAGGATACGCGAGAGACGCTGGACTCGTACCTGGCCCGCGGCCCGCACCTCTGTTTCCTCCACGATCATCGCCTGGAAATCGTTCAGGATGAGGTCGTGATCGGCGCAATTGACCTTGGTGATTTGCACTCTGATGGGAAGTCGCTGGCCGAGGTGGAGATAGGCGCCGCACATGAGTTCGATGCTGACGTGGTACGTTGTGGCTATCGCCGCTGTGACCTCTTGTGCGGTGGCTTCGTTGGTGCTCTGATGGCACCGGATGATGACGGCGCGGTGCCGCGAGAGAGACTGCCGGGGTGGCGGGAGGCTGGATGTGGGGCAGAAGAATATTCTACGGGACTGCTCTGTTGAGTCAGCAAGAGGGGGATGTTTGAAGGTGTGCATGTCACGCAACCTGCTTGATGGACTGCTTCAGGAATCCGCCAATGTTGACATTGGCTTCGACGGCGTATGCAATCTCGGCCGGGCCGGAACGAACGCCCGTAGAGGGAGGAAGCCGTCGGAGCAAATGGGGCATCTCCTGCCCTCGGACGGGTGGCGCAGGCTCGTTTTGAGGCTGTTTCTCCAGGCACTTGGTTGAGTGTGCTTTGTAGCATCCTGATACCGTAGGAAACTGGCAGTGGGAAGTTTGTCAATAACGGTATTATACTGGTCATTTAAAGGGTAGGATACGTACCGCGAGGGAGAATGGAAATATGTACTGCTTAGGGCCTAGGGTCCGGAATCTCGAGGTATTCTGATCCAGCTGCCCGCATGGGGGGAATATCTGCAGTGTCTCCTGAATAAGCTTGGATAAGGTCAGCCTGCATATTACCGGGCGCCACAGGTAGTTTCAAAAACATACCTGGTGGCATTCTGTGTGGCTTGAGCGTTCCATTCTTGAAACAGACCGTCCCAGCAGGGTAACGGTGATCTGCGATATGTCGACTGGGGAGTCTAGATTGAGGATCACGTGCCCCGTAACGCAATCGTTGTTTTTATATGTCGGCTCAGGTTTGTCTAGTTCGATTTGCAAGTCCATACGCGAGGTAGGAACAAAGTAACTCATCATAAAAGACATGGAAGGTCAGAACATTCAACAAAATGAGATCGAAGTCAATTATCGTCGAATTCTCGAGTCCCTGACCAAGGATCCTCGGAAATTTATTCGACGGTGCGAGAGATATTTTTCCATTGAATATCACTGCAGGCTTCGCGGGCGCATTGTCTTGGCCTTTGTCATGTTTTGGAGCGCAATACTGCGGCTATTTTTGTTCGGGGCTCCTGGCGTAGTCTCAAGATGAAGATTTCTGTCCATTTGGGTTCTCTCACGTTTCATGTATCTGTTTTCAGTCAGATAAACCTTTGTCTAGCTGAGAGTTACAGGATGGGACAAGATTTACATACAATCCCGAGTCAGTCCCGGCCCGGGGGAGGGAGTTCCAAGCCGGGGGGTTCGGCATAAGAGCGGGGCGCGCGCAACCGGTGGGCTAAGAGTAACCGGGAACTCCCATTGGTTCGGAATAAGTATGGGGCTTCCCTACCCAATCATCACCTCAACAGAAGCCTTCGCTTCCTGCCCAGATCATGGATGTATTCTCTTCGGTCGCGATCCTGTAAATTTCTGGAAAAAGGGGGGTTTATTGAGAGGGCTTCATTTATCATGCTGATGGCCTCAATAGGCGACCACTGAAGTTCAGATTTGATGGGCAAGTATGACCTTGCTGAGCGGCTGTGAGACACTCATACTTACTACTCAACGGGACGTCATGGTTCCTGAAAGAATATTCCCAAGTGGCCGACTCATTATTAGATATGCGCCGGAGATAACGAATGAGACAAAGGGAGTTCGGAGTGTATCACCAGCGTGCCTAATCTGAATGCCAAGCCAACTTTGAATTATGGCACCCAAGATGTCTGATCACTTCCACAAACACAATCGCGCCTTACAACAAGCTAAACCTTGCCCTGCAACTGTATATGTACCGATTCTGATAAGTGAGGCTCACCTCGGCCCCGCGGGCCCCGACGAGGATGGCTAGATACAACATTCACTTTTACTCCATGCTGTACTTACTGTGCCATGCGAGCCAGCGCGAATAGTTGACCTGGCTTCTGGCGTCACTGCGAGCCAAGTGACGTTCGATCTTCTCATTGTTAAGCCTTGGAAGATGGCCCTGTGCTCTTTATTTTTACCTAGTAGTTCGAGGTTGAAGGTGGTCTTGGGCGCTTGGCGTTCAATGAACTACAAGGCACTGTACACTTTCCCGAGCAGCACTGGACTAATTGTCTGTCAATGAACCCTCTACCCCGGTTTTATTGCTACAATTTCCAGGCCTTTCACCAGTCGGGGAGGCGGATTTTGTAACAATCTTCTTTCAGGGCAAGGTGCGATTGCCTTATGGCGGACGAAACCAGACCAATTGGCGTGTGTACTGTTCCGCTACCGTGCAATTTTGTGGGGCTTCAGGCGTTAAAGTTTGGTGGTAGAAATGTATTTTTGTCCATTTTCCTGAGCGTGCATAGCAATGCCAGGTGATATTACTAATCGCCAAGCATAAGTCAAGTCTTCGCCACAGTCAAAATAGCAGTCAAAATCGCCTGCAGGGCTTTCGCTGCGCCTTACATCTCTCGCTTCGGTATTCACAATCTGAGATCATTGTATAAGATAGCCATCACAGGAGCATGGAAATTTGATGCTCTAGGACAATGACAGATCATGCAGGCCACAGACTACAATCGTCAACAGATCTACCCCTTTCCAGCTGTATGTAATTCCACCCGCCAGTCTTCCCCGCCAAGGTAATTAGGCTGACATCTACACAGTGCGATTCTTGTCATGCGCGGAAGGTAAATTACCATCCCTGATATTGTGTTCAAAATGCCAGACCTTTTTTTTAGCAGTCTAGAGCGCCGACATTCACATTGATCTCCTGTCCAGGTCCGGTGCAATCGAGGATTACCATGTAGCAACTGCCTTGATCAAGGTCTTTCTTGTCAAAGACAGCGGATACGGCGACGTTTGCCGAAAAGAATCCTAAATCCTAAAGTTCAGACGACGACTTCAGCAACAACCACCGTTCAGGCACTCGCCCCTAGTCGACTTGAGCAGGTCGCGTTGACTGAGACTGACATGTCCATTGAACGGTCTGGCTTACAGCAAGAACCAAAGACCTCAACTGGGAGAATTGAAACAAGCAACACACCTGTACCCAGGTTAGAGGCAAAGCCTACAGGTAGTGATCAACCAATACCAGCTGGTTGTGACTTGGCTGCGTGGGTGCCATTAAATCGATCAATCGAGACTCGCTTTGAGATTCCGGGCCACATGGGCAACTTCGAGCACGGCTTGGTCTGCAAAGCGCAGGAAGTGTTACGCTTAGCTTTGGTTCGTGCAACTCACGCCCCTCAAGGGCTAAGACCACTCCTCCAGGACGAACGAGGCGTGCCTCTTGAGTTTCTGACTTGGATGCTACAAGGTAAGAAACGTCCTTAATGCCAGGTTGAAAGGAAACGGCTATGCGCGCCGGGGCTAATACGGTCTTGCTCGGTTGAACAAGACATCGGCAGTACCAAGTTTGGAATATACGTGTCAGATTATTTCAAACACGTTTCCAAGACCACCCTAAAGGGTATGTGTTTAAGGCTGCTGTCCAACGATGTCTCGAATGATGAGAGAGACATCTTCAGTGTCTGCGTCAACGCCGCCGCTCACAAATTCCTAATGACTGTTCTCATGATTGGGGAGCACGATGACGAGCTCACCGACCATCTGCGACTTCGGTCTGTCGAATATAAACGCACCGCACAGGCAGCGTTAGAGCGCATTCGACTCACGATCACTCCTTCCTTCTCACTTCTTCAGGCCCTTCTTTGCGGGGTGGGTATATTTCTTACCTAACGTCTGTGATACATCGTGCTTTTGTCGATTTCTAACGGAGATGCAATAGGTTTTCCTCCATCAAGGCTCTGGCAACACCCACTTTTGCTATGAACTGACTCGGACTGCTTGTCGGATAGCCACTGACCTAGGATTCGATAAGGCGAGTCCTGACTCGGAGCGGAAACCCAGGACAGAGGAGGAAGTCTTCTGCGCTCTTTGGTGTTATATGCTAGATAAGAATTACGCGTGGAAGTTCGAACCTTCGCGAACCTTCTTCGAGATCGAGCCCGGGATGCTTGACGATTATGTTCACGACACAACCGCCGATCTTCTGGCAATCTATATTGCCATGGCCCGAGTACAGGATGACACATTATCATTACTCAAGAACATCCTGTCGAGCGCCTCACATTCAGTGCCACTTGCCACGCGCTGTTCCGTCGAATCGCTATTACAGAGAGTGGATGAGATTGAGCAACAAATTGAGCAGGTACGCTTTACTTCAACAAGCTTTATATTCCCGACGCATAGGCATGCGATCTGACGCTGACTACAACACAAGATATCTGCGTCTTCGGCGCAAAGTTGGATGGGCCTTGATGCTGAGAACGAGATTGCTGCCATTCGCTTCGCGCACCACTCCATCCGAACCACGATTCTCTATCTCTCTGACCAATTTCAAGGGCGGGCCTTTGGGTCGGGAGACTTGCTCCTCCAATCTGCTCGTCAAGAGCTATCGTCACTGTTGTCTATATGCCTAATCAACGAGAAAGACCGTGCCATCGGCTTCCTCCATTGGTCAGTCATTTGGACCACCCTCTCTTATCGTTCTGTGCCATATTGCCCGCAACGCTGACCAATCTCGCTCTATCCAAACAGGACATTGACTTTTTACCCCTTGACCGCGTGTTTCGTCTTGTTCTGCAACGCCGTGACGACGTCAAATCTGGGAGATATAAACCTTCTCAAGACTGTGGCGACGGTTCTTTTGCCCAGTATCTCGAGTAGTCATCACGTCACGGTCATACAACGTCTCTTTGAGGAATTCATTGCCCTCTCGCAGTCGCTTTTCTCTGACATGGAGAGCCGCGGGGGCAATGCGGCCGAAGTCAGGGACGCCTCCACGCTTACCCAGGTGCGACCTTCGCAGCCTCACAACCAAACTTTTCATGCGGGCGACCCTGCCTCCATCGCTCATCATCCTGGGACACTCGTTTGGGCCGACACAACGACCAATTCTTTCCCGTCCGATCTGTCGGAAACATGGACCCCAAATGAGAGGGAGAGCCACCCTGCCTTTATGGACCCGTCGATCACAATTCCCTTGGACTTCGAGTTCCCAGCCGAGTTCGCTGATTTCATGCCTGTCACTTGTGCTCAGTGACTTACATAGCTATTAATACCCGTTTTACCGAGATAATAAATGCTGTACGTATAGGCTGTTTGGCAGATCATCTGCGTTCCCTGGAACCCCACAGGGGAAACATGGTGAGAAAATACCTCCAATCCATCAGGTATAATGGCACGGCCCCGACCTCAATTGACTCGTGTTTCAATAAGTATAATGTTCGAACCAGTGTCTCTGGATGCATTCATTGCTAATTACACCCCAGTCACCTATACCTGATACGTGGGATAATAAACCTAGGGAGGCACAAAACATGTGGGGTGCTAAACAACAGGTAGAGACGAGGTTCAAACCTAAATAGTCTATCAAGAAGTGACGGATGTGGATGAATGATCAATTTCGCTAGCCAAGGCTCTCTACGGACGGGACTATGTATCATCGTGGCGTGGCGGGCGGCGAGGCCTCGGGCCAAGCATGACATAATCACCCCTGACACAGAAGTAAGCAAGGCATGATTATGTTTTAGCTTAGTTCTTCCTGGGACTTCAATCATCCGATACACTCTTTCTTCTGTCTATGAAGATTGACATATTGAGAGAATTTCCAGAAAGATTAGCCAGGATGTAGCATCTTGTACATTTAAACTTCCCGAATACTATATACCCTAAGATTCATGGATCTCCAACGCATCCATATCATCTAAGAGCTCCTCCATGTTGATTTTTGGCACCTCGCCATCGGTCCACTCGGTCCCCGCCACGCTGACTTCATCATCCTTGGGCTTGTTCTTGTACAGCGCGAGGGTCGCCCGTAGCTCCTCATCCTCCTCCACATCCCGCAGGAACATCTCGAGATCGTTCTCCACGCGGCTTTGCTCGTGGTCGGTGGGCAGCAGCTCACTCTCCCCGACCGCCATCCGCTTCAGCTTCCAATTGCGTTTGTTCTTCTTGTGCTGCCGTGGGTAGTGCTTCTTCACCAGCACCACGTCGGGAATCCGGGAGGCGTAGGTCTTCGACTCCTCGAGAGCCTCGAACTCGGGACTATTGAAGTTGGCCCCCGTGATCATGTAACCCAGCACCGAGTCGCCTGGGTGCAGGATGCTCCCAAGGTGCGATCGCGTGAAGTACTGCCGATCCCCGCCAAAGTCCGAGGCGCGCGCGACCGTCACCTCGGCGAGTTGCCACTTGCCCTCGCCTTGACCGGTGAGATCGATGTCGAGGACAATGAACTCGACGAGGTTGGGCGCCTCCGCGAGCGGCGTGAACGGCGCGCGCCAGTAGATCTTGGGCTGCAGGTCGGCAGTCTGGAGGGTGTTGGGGTCAAGGAAGGTGATGGAGGTGCCGACGCGCTGGCACAGCACCAAGGGCGCGATGTTGCCGATCTGCCGCGCGAGCTTGATCGGTAATGCGACGAGGTCATCCTTGCATACTGGCACGAGCTTGACCGAGTAGCTGAACTTGTACGACTTCTTGGATGTGTGGATGTTCTCCGAGATCAGCGTCTGGGACTTGGTGACCTCGATGGGCACGACGGAATGCAGAAAGTCGACGAAGGCCTCCGCGTGGTTGCGCTGCGCGAAGAAGAAGTCGACACCGTTGCGCGCCTCCTTGATGTTAATCGTCTCGTTGTGCGCCTTGTGCTTGAGGATCAGCTGCTCGAGGTAGAGGAAGGTCCGCTTGTGCATGACCGCCTGGCGCACCTGCACGCTGGCCCGCCAGTGGTTGTGCGTGTACGACTTCTTGCAGTCCGGGCACTGCAGGTACAGCACGGCGTACGTCACCTCGAAGCTCTGTTGGACGAGGGCGTCGTTGTCCAGCGAGTCCTGCACCGTGAGCTTGAGCTTGATGCGCCGCGAGTGCGGCTCCGTCCAGATGAACGAGGCGTCCATCACCCGCACTTTGTTGAGGCGTTTCAGCTTGCGCAGGCACAGAGCCAATAGCTCGCGCGACTCCGGGGCGGCGACCGTCCAGGTTGCCGGGGGTGAGAGCCATCGCTCGCAGTCCCGACAGTAGTGTACAACCGCGTCGCGCTGGATGCCCGCCGAGATGTCGACCGAGGTTTTGATGCAGTCAGTGCAGAGTGTCGTTCCCTTTAAAGGCGCACCGCACTCGTAGCATAGTGTCCTGGGGAAGAGAGCTTAGCAGAAGGACTATGAGGAAGGCAAATTGGACCTTAGGTACTCACGTGGGAGTTGACTCTTCGCTGTTGTCCAGCGTTATTGCTATGGGAATCTCCTGCTGCATTTTAACGAGATCTGTCTGGGTGGCGATGATTGTTGATGTGAAGATGAAGCCGCGGGGTTGCTCGATAAGATTAGAAATACATCCTTTCCTCTTATCGTTATCCGGAGCCACGTGACTGCTCGCATTGCTGCTTATCAATCAAGGCGGTGAATCATAGATAGGAAGGGGATGGCAGAGGCTTGATCGCAGTCTTTCTGTCACATCTTGAGCAGCTACACTCGCAACTGAAGAAAATGTGTGAGGTGGCCTTATTGCGAATTTAGATTTCCAATCAAACTCTTATCTATTCTCCCAATACAAGAATGGTAGAACACTATGAAGTTGTTCCGGCATAAGGGTCCGCACCGCAATTAAACATATATTAGACATATATTAGCATTCTTTGGTTGCTAAGATAGATGACAGAGGTCCCAGATGACCCCCGTAGGGAACGATACAATATCTATTCTTTACTCTAAGTCCTCGGTCTAGGCGTGTCCAAAGTCTTCCAAGGAAAAAATCAAGCGTTGCCGTTGGCAAATTCCGTGCTGAAGGGATAGTCGATGTAACCCTTCTCTTGTATAGGGGTATAGAAGCTATCTCGATGATACGGGTTGAGAGCAAGTCCATGGCGAATGCGAAAGGGCAAATCAGGATTCGCAAGGAAATGGCGTCCGAAGACAATCGCGACGTTGTAGTCCCTGTAATCACCCTGAAGAGCAGCTTCCACATTTTTCGGGGTATATCCGCCCGCGACAAGGACAGGGGAGGTTTTGCCCCAGATGTCGAGAAGGAACGTGTTACTCTCTCCTTGTTCACAGTCCACATTGTTGATAACGCGCGACTCAATGAGGTGCAAGTAAGCCAGGTTCAACTGCCTGAGCTGCTCCACACAATAGGCAAATTGAGGGGTCGGATCAGCCATCTTCATACCTTGCCAAGTATTCCACGGACTGAGCCGGAATCCAACGCGGTCAGCCCCGATAGCATCCACCACAGCTTTAGCAACTTCCAGCGCGAAACGTGCGCGGTTGGCAACACTGCCACCCCATCGATCGACTCGCTGATTCGACACATCTTGAAGAAACTGATCGACCAGATAGCCGTTGGCTCCGTGAATTTCGACGCCGTCAAACCCAGCTCGAATTGCGTTTTTCGCCGCTGTCGCAAAGTCATTGATGATGCTCTGAATCTCCTCCTCCTTCAACTCCGTGGGAACAGGCATTTCCGGGTCCATGGGAATTGCACTGGGGGCGTGTAGCTCATATTCGCCATCGGCACGAAGCACAGCGGGATCAGCCGCCCTGCCCAGCGCAATCAATTGACAATAAATGAAGCTGCCCTTCTCATGTACGGCGTCGGTGATCTCTTTCCAGCGCTGAATCTGGGGCCCGCTCCAGATTCCTGGCCCATGTGGGATCCCACCTTCGGATGCTGAGATCTGAGTGGCTTCGGCGATGAGCAGCGTCCCTGACACAGATGCTCGTTGCTTATAGTACGTTTTGGCTATGGGTAAAGGGACGTGTTCTGCGTCGGCGCGGAGTCGAGTAAGCGGAGCCATGATGACTCGATGCTCGAGATGGAGGTTTCCGATCTGCAGAGGCTCGAAGAGCTTGGAGGGCGTCATGGCGGATCGACTTCAGTGGCGGTGTCTTGAATGCTTGTGGTATTTCCCTTCTTCTGTTGGTTAGGAATTGACCATCCGAACAGTAGTTGTTTTTCATGCTGTGAAATGATTCCCAAAGCTGGGATTTTATGATTTATACAATTTTGGAGGTCTTGGAGATTGGTTTCCTTTGCCACGGCTGCATCTGGCCGCGAGTAGGGCTGTGGGCGGATTGTGGGTACCACCTCCAAACCACCTCCAAACCACCTCCAAGCACCTCCAACGAGCAGGGCAAAACGAAAATGACAAACCCACTACTCATGAAATTGGCAATGCAGGAGGCTTGTATGCCACCATGTGAGTGCCAATCGTATTTATCATCGCTTTTCAAATCACTAAAAGATCTCGCAGTGGACTGTACCCTTTTTTGGCCAGGGAAGGCGGAAAAGGTCTAGATCATCTACCGACCCATGTGCAACCCGACCACAGCAATGAAATTGAGAAGAGCCTTGCAGGATATGTGGCGACTAGAGTCACGTAGTGAATTGAGATTCGAAGTCATTAAAGCATGCCATGTTCTCATCTCTTACTTTGCACTCTCCAACAAGAGCGGTTCCACGTTGCCGAGACGCCCCCAAAAGCTCCCACGTCATCTCCATGCAGGCAAGTCGCCGCCTAGTACCGCAACTCTCCAGCAGCAATCATTATAAATTCTCGAAGCCAGACCACCAGGATCAGCCAAAGACTTTTCAGACAGCTTTCATCACTCATTGCCCACAATATTGAAATATGGCATCCCTCACCTATGTTAACGAAGATGGTGCTGGCCAGAAGCACAGCGATCTCTGCCACTACTCCCAAGCTGTTCTTCTCCCCGGGAACATTGTGAAATGCGCTGGGCAGGGTGGCTGGACGAACTCGGGAGACCTCGATGCTAGCGATACTCGGAAGCAGGTTGACCTTGCATTTGAGAACGTCGATAAGGTACTTCAAGCCACAGGTTTGAAAGGATGGGAAGACGTCTATCTTGTCCGGACTTACCACGTCGACATGGGAGCTTCTTATGACTATCTAGTCGAGAAGCTCAAGAAGCGCATTCCTGGACACCGACCAGTCTGGACAGCTATTTCAGTTCCCCGCCTTGCTTTCCCGGAGATGTTGATTGAGGTCGAGGTTGAGGCATTCAACAATCAAACTTAACGTTTCCTCCATTCCATCAGTGCCTTGATGTAAGGATATTATATATCTTTGATCTGAGTGTGTGCTAATGACCAGGAGATTTCTCCAGTTTCAACCGTCCCGCTTGTTGTGTGTGCGAATTCTAAGGTGTAACGAATATATATTTCAGTTATACAATCTTTCTGGTTCTATTCTTAGCATAATATGGAGGTACGATGCACATGAACAATGAAAGTATAGAGAAGCATGAGTTTAGTATAGGTGTACAGGTCCCCAGTTAGACATGTCATTGACGTCATCCACGGCCACGTGACGGCTACCACCTCCACATCTCCAATGCCTCCATCCTAACCCAACTCTCTTCATCCTGCACACGCTCTCCCCATTATCCCCCAACCCTCAAAAAATCACGTATGGAGTTGTCTTCAGTAGAGCCAACCCAGGAGTCATCATCAGCAGGCAAACGAAAGCCGCGGATATGTTCCTACTGCGAGCGATCCTTCCGGCGCTACGAACATCTCCAAAGACATCTTCGAATTCGTTAGTGCAGAACTCCCACGAAACCGAATGTGGGTCTATGAGGCTGAGATAATGGCAACTCTTAGATACACATGAGAAACCCTACGAGTGTGACTGTGGCGCAACGTTCAGTCGGCGAGATCTGCTGAAGCGCCACCAAAATATTGGCCACGCTCCGATTACTCCATCGACGGAGGACCCGTCACCTGCAGAGGTTCACAATACCAGCAATGTCCAGTCTCAAGTAGAGTATTCCCATTCCAATTTCCAGTCTTCTTTGCCGGAGCTAGCAGATCTTCATGACATCGCCCAAGTCCTTCCAAGCCAGACTAGCCAATATCCCAATGTGCAACTCGAAGGTATGGTGTAGTAGCATCTTCTAATGCTGAATCTCGATAAATCGCCGGAGCGGGATTGACTTCATGCAGGAAATCCGCTCTTCAGCTCCCAGGATCTGCTGGTCCTGCAAGATCTGGAGATGTTTAGTAACAACATGGGGCTGAACAACGAATGGTATCTCCCAACTGAGCCCAGCATAACACAGATCTTCGCGGGCGATTCCAGCTTCAATCTCACCACAAATCCATCTACTGCACCAGCATCCGGCGCATTTCCCGTTGGTCCTGATCAGGCTCTGAGCAAGTTACCAACCGAGCGAGAAGCAGTCGGTAAGACGCCTAAGACACCTTCAACGTCTACCCGAGTCTAAAGACGCAGCTAAACATCAACAATAGCGGAATTTGGCGTCCTGACGTTGCCAATCCTGACTGTAACAAATCAGCATCGCGAACGCCTACTTCGAGCGCTGACACGGGCCCATTCCATTCAAGCGGCCAACGACTTGCCGTCTTGCCACTCATTGTCACGGTTCGCGAATGGCTTTTTCGATGGATTCTATCCCCATTACCCCATGGTGCACATCCCAACCTTCAGGATCGATGAATGTGAGCCAGAATGTCTCTTAGCTATGTGCGCCCTGGGTGCTGAGTTCCGGCATGAGAATCGCAAAGCGGTGCTACTGTTTCAGGCGGCTACGGATATATTGCAGCAACGAACGCGTGAAACGCAAAGGACAAATGCTGGGAAAGCTGCGCCGTCTGGGAACAGTACGACTCCATTACATCAGGGATCTGTCCCAGACCACAAAAGCGCTCAATACCGCGAAACCATGCGCGACGCACGCTGCGCCTTTCTACTGATCGCTTTCGCAACCTGGCAAGGAAAGGACGATCTAGCACGAGAGGCGTTCAACCTCCAAAGCTTCCTGGCCCGATGCATCCGGGAATGTCAGCTCGAACAGGCCGATCAGGGGCCCGATGCTAGTGCCACAGATTGGCGGTCCTGGGTCCAAGAAGAAACAGACCGCAGGATCAAGCTGTTCTCTTTTGCCCTCCTGAACCTGCAGTCTCTGGCCTTCGGCACCCCCTCCGTGATCCTGACCGATGAGATTCGCGTTCGCCTGCCATGCAGCTGTCTGGAGTGGATTGCTCCAAGCTCGGAGAAATGGAACCGTATCCGAACCAGGCCCGGGTTTCGGGAGCAGATGATGTTTCAAGATGCCCTCTGTCACATCATGAAGAACCCGCCGGCGCCGGGATTCCCCAACGCGCATCCGGTGCCATCACCCCAAGCAAACTATATCCTGCTGCATGCGCTCATCCAGCAGATCCTCCTCGCATACCGTGCTCTCGGGCCATACAACGACGCGAACAAATCCTTGATCAATGGGCAGAAGGAGATCATGCGGTAAGTGGAGTAGTTCATGAGGACCGAGTCTTCCTTCCAATTCTCATTGGCCCTGATCGAAAGCGTGCTCATGCTCTTAGACATGCCCTTCACGCGTGGACCTCTTTATGGCAGCGCGCCCCGGAATCGAGCTTGGATCCCCGCAACCCCAACGGCCCCGTGACCTTCACCTCAACCGCGTTCCTCGGGGTGGCATATGTTCGCCTCGGCCTCGACATCGGGTCCTACAGAATCCTTCGATCGCGAGACGCCAACGAGATAGCCAGCCGGCTGCTACAAATGCCGCGCCTTCCCGCCGGGCCACATCTTCTCCCCGCTATCCTGCATGCCACCCACGCCCTCAGCATCCCCGTCAAGCTGGGCGTGAACTTCGTAGCACAGAGCCATGCCTTCGTCTGGAGCATCCAACACTCGCTTTGCGGGCTGGAGTTCGCCATCTTCCTCAGCAAGTGGCTGTTCTGTATCGCAGACTGTCAGACGAGGCGGCCGCTGGACGGTATGTATTCTTCCGCGTTGTGTCATGGAAGATCATCAAAACCTCAGTACTGACATGGCAAACGCACAGAGCACGAGACACGATTGGTAAGCTGGATCACCGACATCGTCGAAGAGGGACGAACCTCCGGAGACGAGGACCTGTGGGCCCGACCGTCGATCCCTTCAGACTGTGTCTACCTGGGTTTTGCTGTCGCGAAGCTCTGGGCGCGGTTGATTCGAGGCAATGAGCAGTGGCTTCTCCTGAAGATCATCGGTGATGGGCTGGATATCTATGCCGATACGTGCGACCGAGACTCTGTTCGCTCTCAGACAGGGTCATCTGTGGCTGCACGATGATAAAGCTTTATCTGGCATCATTCCTCGAGGCTTGACAAATTATATAACCACTTGACGAAGGACAAGGTCTGTTGCTTTGTGTACGAATTATTCATTACATATTCTACTTTAGTTAGGCATCCGATCGCAAGCCCGTCACGGTTTACGATTTAAACCATCTAAAATATTACACAATAAGTCAACATAGAAGAAAAGCTCATCTCCTTACGTATTATTGATGACATGAGATGCTCGATTGGACGTTGTTTCTCTTAGGCATCGTGTTAGACGATAGAGTCAAAAAAGGCCAATGGAGTGTAGATTGCCTCCGTAGGTTGCAGGCTTTCCCCCCCACCCTCGGTCAAGGGCCACTAACTAACTTTACCAGAACCAGGCTACACGAGCTACAAACACCCATAATTTGCGATCAATCACGCTCGAGACTAAGACGATTCTTGAATACACTTCTCTCTGGTTGAATTGTCGACTTGGCCTTTTTGACTTGAATTCATTGCGGCGCTATGAGCGCACTAGGGTGTCCACCTCATCATGGGTGCACAATGTTCCCATCTTAAAAAGATCCAGTCCGGAGATGGAAGTATTTAGATTGCCCAGGAGGTCCTTGAAGGAAGACTGAGCGCATCTGTGTGGACGATCGTCGTACCATAAGGTCCACTTTGGGGGTTCGAAGGACAACACCTGCTGCACAAGCTCTTCATGACTTATACCCAGAAAAGGCGCCACGGGCCTGGGGTATAGCAGACCGCTCGAATGCATCCTCTTACTGAGAGCTCCATACAGCATGGCGTTGCACTCAAAGCTACAATAGCGGTCGTCGAGGAGCCGATCCAGCGTGCTGTACAGTCCGTGCAGAATGGCGGCGATGGCCGTGGTTCGCGTTGCATTGATGAGACCTGAATATTCCCAATCTCAATCAGCTGGATACCACCCAGATCTCCCGGAATTCTGTCCCCTACCAATGATTGCGCCAGGAATTGGTAAGCCGAGGCTGGCTGCAGGCGAGGTGCTCCGCGACGCCGCCGTCGAGGTGGTTTGTCGGAACTGACTCTGGCGACCGAAGAACCACGAGATCCAGATCCACAAAAAGAGGTCCCTGCAGTAAGTGTTTGGTGGCTCTTGGGCCAGCGACTCGAGCCAAGTCTGCGAGAAGAATTCCAGCGCTTCCTTGCACTGGTAGTAGTCCGCCACGACCGCGATCTTGGCGATCATCTCTAAGCTCAGTTTCCTCGGGATCTGTGAGCTTTGGCAGTGCAATACCTTGAGGACGATCAAGAGTGCTTCCAAATCCCAGCCTTTGGCGGCTAACTCCAGGGGGTCTGCTGGGAGGTGAGAGGTGGTCTCTTTCCACGTCCCGCGGAGCATCTTCTTGAAGTAGGATGACGCGAGAGCTAGATGTTTTCCGGATACTAAGATACGGTGAACCTCTTTTGTCGGCGGTTTTTTGTAGTCACCGGCGGTTTCGACAGGTTCTACGTTGGAATTCTCCTGATACTCATCATCCCCATCGATGGCTAATGACGAAGCTGGACGAGCCATCTCCGGGGATCCGGCCTCATTCCAGGGCGCAAACGCATGATTGGAATCCTGTAAGACGATCACCACATCGCCGTCAGAGTCGATAATGTGGGTTGACAGGTCGGTAACACTCATCATGCTCATTCAGATAAGTGTAAGGATCAATTCAGATGCAGTATGGGAGAGTGCGCAGTTAGCAGGTGGGGCGTGTGAATCCAAGTGTGAATCCAGGAGACTCACAATCAACCTAATTCCAGATGGGGGAAAGCTCCCCCGCACCGTCCGAGATGCTAGACCTAATCAGGATCTGTCGGGAAGACACCGCCGCGTGGCCCGTGGCCCGTGACCCGTGACCCGTGACCCGTGACCCGTGACCCGTGACCCTCCTCCTGGTAGCTGCTACAGTCACGTGATCCTGCTGTGCGATGAACAGTTACAATTCGAATTCACAGCACAAAGGTTGTATCATGAACAAGCCATGAGTGGATTCTTATCTGGAAGTTCTATGTTCTGTCGCTATCTCGTGCCGAGATAACCTTTCTTAGATATACACGATCACAATGCCATAATACACGCCGGGGATATGCCAATACTATGATACAGGTCCGGTACGGTTATTCACTAGGCGTGGTCAATCGGGGAGGGACCGGCCTCGATAGGGTAGGTAAAGATGTAGTTAGGGCCGGCAGCCATCAGGCCATCACCACCAGGACGCATCTGAGAAGCCGGCAGCCACAGCTTCTTGTCCGGGGTAACCCACATAAGGTCGGTCCAGATCAGGCGATCATCCTGGAAGAGGATCGATGCCACGCCCTCGGGAGTCACCTTCCAGATGGCCAACAGGTTGGTATCGCTGAAATAGATGTTGCCGTTGCCGTCGATGGTGGTGCCGCCCGTGCTGGGGGTCAGAGCAACAGCCTGAACGTAGTCCCCAAGCGAGGCGGCGAGGGTGGTGTTGGTGAGAGCGGCGTCGAGATAGGCGGTCTCGATCTTGTATAGCCCGCCGTTGCAGGGCTGGTAGTACAGCCAGACGCCGTCGGGGGAGACTTCGATCTGGTCGAGGCCGACGGCGAGGGTGCTGCCGGCGGCGCCGTAGCCGGGCACCAGGGTGTGGTTGTACATCATGGGGAACCAGGCCTGGGCGGAAGAGTGGTCGGAGAGCACGCGCACGCCGTCGCCGGTCGTCATGTTCAGGATGATGAGCGCGCCCGCGGTGTCACTGAGGTAGGTGACATCGCCAGCGGCGTTGAAGCGGACATCGTCAACACCGCTCTCCTCCGCCTTGACATTGTCCAGGTAGTACAGCTTGTCAACTGCGTTGGTGGTCAGGTTGACGCCGACCAGCTTGGTGGAGCCATTGACGCCCGACGAGCCGCCATCGACGACCCAGTAGCGGCCATCCGGACCGATGCGCGCTCCATCGACACTGACAAAGCTCGTGGTCGGGTCGGAGTTGGGGTCACTGGAATTGTATGCGTTCCACGCCGCGTCTGGATAGAGCGTGGTGCTGTTGTCGGCGAGAAGCTCAACGATCTGGGGCGCGGCGGTCGTGGAGTAACGCTGTGTCAGGAATTTGCGGCCATCGGCGGAGATACTGATGCCCTGGGTGGCGCGCTCAAGCGAGTAGACCAGCTCTAAGCCTGGTGTGTTGGTCTTTGCAGCAGCCAAGGGAGCAGAGATGCCCACGAGGGCGAGGAAAAGAGAGGGAAACATGATCAGAGATGTTCTGCGTGTCTGTCTGTCAAATTTCGGTGGGATATTTGGCTGAATATATAGAGCAGTTCCTGCGGATCATGGCTGACCAAGCTATCTGGTGGTGAAGAAGGATGGCCAGGAACCAGCTGAAGCATGATCGCAAGCAGGTTGGTACTACGGAATACATAGTTCAGATCCCGTTGGCTCCGAGGGATCCCGCCCCGCTCCGAAAATTGCCAAGACGGCGCGGATGGAGGCACTTATCTGCAAGAGGTTTAGTCTCCGCATGTGCCGTGCAGAGTAGGGTTCCACTTGGGGAGAAGCTTGAGATTGAGAAGAAGTTTAACCACCTTTGGGGTCATCAGACTTGCCGTCAGACTTCGGCGCGGACAACAAGCTTAGTTCTTGGCGAAAGTTGGTGCAGAATCGCTGATGACGAGTCGGAGGACCTTGACCATGGGTCTAGCCGCAGCCGAACTTCTGCCGGCACATTAAGCCTGTCTAATGTTGTTACGGCTGGAATCACAGGGAATGTCGTTACGCCGCTTTGGCCAGATTTGGAATGATCTTCCTCGTACAATCTGCTCACGGATTGAGATCGTGCTGCGAGAATGGACGAGACGCCACAATCTATGCATCAGGAGTTGGTAGCCAATAGTCTAGCTTACACACGGCGTAGCATGACGCGTGCTCCCTGCTCCCTCACAATCAGTCGTAGGTCTTGGCGTAATATATCATGCTGCAGCCAAGACCAGCAGAATCCAAGGTCTAAATCGGAATGAATTGATTCTAGTCAGACTGCATTGTCCGAGCCGAGGTCTGATGTTCATGGGCCGATTCGATGCGTCGAGTTTGTAGGAGTGTTGGTAGCGGGCGTCAGATCCTAAATCATCAGCAGTCACACCCACAAGAATTCAAGTATATGCAAGGGATAACTGGAATGACTTGTAACCATGAGCGAATGACTTGTATAATGTTGAAAGATCTAACAACTAGTCTTATTGTTATAACAGATATCTGGGGTCATGTGATCTCGGATCTCACTACCTCTTAGAAAAACAGTCATATAGCTGTAGTTCTTTTAATTAATATATATATATTTTTTCTTACAGATTATAAGTTCTTGTAGTTATATTTCTTGTTAAATTTATTCTTTTTTATTATTTTTATTAAGAATCTTTTTATATATATCGATATTTATAATATTAACAGTTTTTTATATCTTTATTTAATATTTTATATATTTAAAGAGATAAAAAAGTCTTTAAAATATTCTAATTAACTTAATAGTTAAATATAATATTTACTAATTTATTAAATTAATTAAATATATATTTTTATTACGCGAGCGGCGTGGTTATATATTATATTATAATATTATTAAAAGATTTATTTAATATTAATATTTTTAAAGCTATATTAAAATTAAAAAATAAGTTCAACTAGCTGATATTATTAAGGTGCGGGCTGGCGTCTGTTTCTTAATCTGGCTGGATAGTAGGAATAACAGCTCTAACTAAACAAGTTTTTATAACTAGTTTTCTAGATTCTTTACTAGCTACTAGACTAGATTATTTTTAGATTTATAAATAAAATATAGCTTGAAGAGCTATAAATAAAATTAAAAATAAATAAATAATTAAAAAGATTATAGATTATATATAAAATATTAAAAAAAACAGTTAGATTATTAAAATAAAATAAATTAAATAGATTAAATAGATAGAATAAATAAAACAGATAATATAAATGAAATAAATATATTAAATTTATATTATAATAATATATTTTCTTTTTAGAACTAAGCTTTATTAAAATATAGATTATAATTTATTAGAATAATAATAGTAAAAATTCTTAATTATTTAATAAATATTCTTAAAATATTAAATTAATTTAATAATTAAATCTAAATATTTAATCTATTTTATAATATATATATTAGTTAAGAATAACTATATTTTTTATAATTTTATATAAAATTAAAAATATCTTTAACTTTTTATTTTTTAATTTATTAATTTTTATATAAGATAATAAAGATTAGTACTAGTCTAAAACTAGTTTTTTATTAATAAATATAAACAGACTGATATTAAATACAGAATATATTTTTATACTAAAAAATAAAACTAGTTAATAAATATATAAGTATCAAGAAGCAGGCTGGCGTCTAGTTCTTAGTCTGGCTGGGTAGTAGAAATAATAGTTCTAGCTAGATAATTCTTTATAACTAATTCTCTGGATTCTTTATTAGCTACTAGATTAGATTATTCTTAGATTTATAAATAGGATATAGTTTAAAAAACTATAAATATAATTAAAAATAAATAAATAATTAAAAAAATTATAAATTATATATAAGATAGTCAGAAAAATAATCAGATAAAATAAATAAAATAGATAAAATAAATAAAATAAATAAAATAAATAAAATAAATAAAATAAATAAAATAAATAAAATAAATAAAATAAATAAA